ATGGATGGATAGGAGAAATTGGATAGATGGAGAAAGTGGATGGATGGATAGGAGAAATTGGATGGATGGGTGGAGAAATTGGATAGATGGATGATGGATGGATGGATGGATGGATGGATGGATGGATGGATGGATGGATGGATGGATGGAGAAATTGGATGGATGATGAATGGAGAAATTGAATAGATGGATGATGGATGGACGGATAGACGGATAGATGGAGAAATTGGATGGATGGATGGATGGATGGATGGAGAAAGTGGATGGATGGATAGGAGAAATTGGATGAATGGAGAAATTGAATAGATGGATGGTGGGGGGACGGATAGATGGATGGATGGAGAAAGAGGATGGATGGATGGATAGGAGAAATTGGATAGATGGATGGATGGAGAAAGTGGATGGATGGATAGGAGAAATTGGATGGATGGATGGAGAAATTGGATAGATGGATGATGGATGGATGGATGGATGGAGAAATTGGATGGATGGAGAAATTGAATAGATGGATGATGGATGGGTGGATGGATGGATGGAGAAAGTGGATGGATGCTTGGATGGACTCTTCCCCACTCACCCTTTCGTCCCCTCGGGTCGATTCGTTGTCCAGCAGGGGCTCTCCGGGAGCCTGGATGGTGACCGACTTGTCTCCCCGGCTCCCATCTCGACTCTTGGAGCGATGCCGCTCTCGGCGGTCTCTGTGGGGCAAGAGAGGGTCCCGGGAGTTAGGGGGGGGAGGGGGGGCAGCTCAAGTCCCAAGCATCGCAACACCCACCTTCTCCCTAACCAGCTCCTCCTTCCAGCTGCTGGTTGTGGAAGAAAATGGAGGATCTCGCACACAGGCAGTCCTTGACATACGACAGTTTGTTTAGTGACTCTTCAAAGTTACAACGGCACCGAAGGAGGTGGCTTTTTCACAGTTAACGACCATTGCAGCATCCGCATGGTCACAAGGTCCAAATTTGGACGCTTGGCAAGTAACCCATAGTTATGACGGTCGTAGTGTCCCGGGGTTACGTGATCCCCTTTTGCGACCTTCGGACAAGCAAATTAAATGGGGAAGCCAGATTCACTTAACGACCGTGTTATTAAACTTAACAGCTGCAATGATTCACTTAGCAACTGTTGCAAAAAAAAGGTTATAAAATGGGGCACTTAGCAAGTGTCTCGCTTAGCAACAGAAATTTAAGGCTCAGTTGTGGTTGTAAGTCGAGGACTACCTGACGTCCTAATTTACAGCCTCTTTTCTCCTTTTCACCACCAGATAGCAAAATGTTATCCACAAGGGTCTTTAAAAGGGGGGCTTGAGGCCAAAGCATTCGAATCCAGGACCACCGGGATTCCCCAAGGGGGTCTCTAAAATGCAGAGCCATGGAATTGGCCAATCACTGTTAAGCTTCACACCAGATCCAGCCATAAATCACAGGTTTCAACTCAACTTTTGGAAGGGAAGATTCCCAAATATAATATGCCGCTCGGCTGGAATCTTTGCTACAGACAAGACCAAAGGCTCCAGGAGCCAAAATCAGTTGCCCAGCGCACCACAAAGAAGCCACAACTTTTGCTCTGCAACCATGTTTCTCAATCTCAACAACTTTGAAGATGTGGGACTTCAAATGTGGACCAGCAGGCAGGGGAACTGTGGGAACGGAATTATTTTAAAGTTGGGGAGATTGCAAAACACGCCTTAAAATCTTAAATTCTAGGCTTCTTCCGTTTACCCCACAAAAATTAACTGAGCCTAGGAGAGTCTCCTGGTGACCTGTGGGAAATGGGGGAAAATTCCAAGCAGGATTACCATGTTTTTCGGACTATAAAACCAGTGTACAACTCAAGAATGGAAAGTTACAAACTTAGCCAAGATGGCTAAAATATCGGCATATCTTAAAGATCATTCAAATGAGAGATATAAACGAGACTGGAAAAAATGGATTGACTATATACAAAATATATACGGGACCAAGAAATTCCAGTTAGCCTATGCTTAAGATCAGAAATGATTTAAATTGTTTAAAGTTAGTTCAGCAAGAAGAAGCTAAGATCAATGCAGAATGTCATTAATTTCTTTATTTCTTTTTTTTCTCAATAGATTTTAGGCTGTGTTTGTTAAAAATCCATACCGTGTATGGGTTCTGGGAAGGAG